TTCTTCTTCTTCTTCTTCTTCTTCTTCTTCTTCTTTAATTTATCGTTTTCGTCACGTAAGTGCAAAAATTCGAAATCCCCTACCACGTATCGTGCTACCGTCCAATGAATATCTAAGTTTGACCAACTTCTTCGTTTTGCACATTGGCTTTCAGTTGATCAACTTGGTTGGTTTAGCTCGTGGTCATCTTTCTCACACTGTAGAAGTCATAGTAGGCTTCTTTTCATTGGTCAGCGCGATCATCAACCCTATACTATACGGCAAGATGAGCCTGCGATACAGGCGTGGCTACCTATTCATTTTTAGGAAGATCATGTCCATCTGTGGAGGAGGGAAGCCGGATGGTCAATTCTTTGGTTAGTGAAATTGAAATTAATTTCCTATGTACTGTATGAAGCTTTAATTTTAAGTCATTTTTGTAATGAGAAGTTTATCTTTTGCATCTTTTGTTTTTATATTTTTCCTCCAGTCCTTCGTCCCATATTTTTCGTGGTTCAATTATTTTTCTTTTTTCCCCTTTCTCCCGTTCTTTTCCCTATTTCTTTTTCTCTATTTTTCCTTTACTTACTTTTCCTTCCTTCCTTCCTTCCTTCCTTCGTTTTTTTGTTTTTGTTTTTTTGTTTTTTAACTTTTTTTTTTCTCATTTCCTTGCTCCTCTTTTTTCATTCTTTGCATTTTATCCATTTTTTTTCATTCTCCCTTCTTTGTTTCTTTTTCCAATTTTCCTTCTTCCCATTTTAAATTCTTTACTCCTTGCTCTATTTTATTCTTATCATTTCTTTCCTGTGTTCCGTTATTCCGTTAATATAATCGAGGAAAAGCTGATTTTCATTGAGCTCAAACTTGCAACATTATTCATTTCAGATGGAAAGCGTCGCGGTTCGCAAGCAACTGCTTATTCAATCCAGTCTTTCACCGCGAAGCGAGGCAGCCTTGCTTCTATTAATCGTATACATACACAACACGTGAATACTGCATTTGTGGAAGATGAAGAAAACCACAACCACAGTCTTAAATATTCATCTCATTGTGTAATCGATGGTGATGATGATGACGATGATAATAATCCGAATGGGATAGCAATTTTTCCTGTAGAAGAAATGACTCCAAGCGAGCTAAAAGACGATGAAAGTTATCATGACAATGATGAGACCCAAATCTCTATATGCCCGTTTGAAGAAAGTCTTCGGATTCGTGAAGCAAATAAGAAAACACCAGAAACAGAAATACAGGAAAGCACCAAAGAAAAGACAATAAGTGACGCTTCTGAAGAAGACATAGCAATATGTCCGCTTAGTGAGAGCATAATGGCACACTTTGAGGACATCCAGAAACTTGTTTCTGAGGAGGATAGTGAAGATGGCGATGACAGCGATGATGGTAGCAGGGGGATAGCTATTACTTCAAGGGAAACAATGGCAAACGATGGAGACTCAAAGAACATATACAACCAAGATGAGAATTATTCTATTGCAAACAAAGGATTTATTGGGGATGAAGAGGATAAAGTTAAGGATAATATTAGCAAAAGTAGTTATAATGACGAGGACATAACTGACTTGCTTGAAGAAGTCAACAAGAATGACAGTCCATCGAAGGGGCATTTCTTCGTTGATGATGTTGTCAAGCTTTTACAAGAAGATGAACAGCGTAAGAGTCGAATAAACAACAAAGATTCGTATGAGTTACTTCCAGATACTTTAAATAAAGATGCCAAAGAGAGAAAGGATGTTATTCAAGAACGGTTACATGACGGATTCGTAGGAAAGAAAATAACTGAAAAAGATGTAGGTATAGAAAGAAGAGATAAAAACGAAGAAACGAATAAAAGTGGAGACTGTCGAAATGATATGGAAAGACAAGGAGATGAAAAGATTAATGATGAAGACAATGAAGATGAGGAAGATTATAAAAAGCATGATGAGGAAGAGGATGGTGAAGAAGACGAAGAAGAAGACGAAGAAGAAGACGAAGAAGAAGACGAAGAA